TAATTTCTAATAACCATTTACTAAATGTCCAGCATCACATCTATCACATTACTCAATTAAACAAAAACGAGAACAACAAACTGAAACAGAAACAAATCGCGAAGTTCAATGAACACTAAAACAATAGAGACGCGTTTGTTAAAATTCCGTATTCCACAATTCGTAGCGATTCATCAGCCGACAATGACGGCAATCTCGAACTTTACCGAGGCAAATGCATTTTCGCGATACAGAAAACTTTTGAGGCTCTCAGTTCGCATTGTACCTATTTTTATTGCAAACGTTGTTGCCAGATATCTATTGCGGAGTTTTTGTTCAGACATTTTATTGAAAGCTCTTTGGTCGACCTTGTTGATGTGTTTTTGTTTTGGCGTTTCGCTGGCATGTGAAATATTTGGTGATGATGATGTTTTGTCACAGAAGGTCCATTTTAGACGAATAAGTATATATAAATAACATTTTTTTCTTAAATTGTACAACCCAATCCAAATCCCAAGTAGGTAATCCAAACAAAATCATTAAGTATAAGAATCAAAATAATAATCAAGGTGAACAACCCCTACCACAAAAATATATGGCCAATTAATCACACTTTTCATGCACAAAATTTTTGGCAATCGAAATTCAATAGATATAAAAGGTATTTCGGCAACCTTCAATCGGAGGGTTCACAAACAACTCTGCAAAAACAAAAGACTGCACAAAATTGAGCTCACATCGATCTCACGCTGAGCCATTCAGCCTTCTGATGTAGAATAGTGTCGGGAGGAGCGCCAGCTAATCAGGCTGACAAATATCGAAAATTTCAATAGAGCTGCGACCACTATTGATACCAGGGTTCGCGAGGCGTTCCCTATTTTTTATTTTTCGGCCTTTTTCGGGAATTCAATAGAGATAGGCGTTTCTCATTCGGTACGACGTTCGATATTTGAAATTTAGGGTTGATGATAATGGTTTTCTTATTGAAGACGTTCATTAATCACTTGCTTTTGACGTTAATTCATGAAGTACGTACTTTTTTGTAAATAGACATGTAGATATTTTTAATAATGAAAACGTAATATAAAGACACATTTCACTTACACACATTTGAGGAATATTGGTACGAATGAGTAATACAAATCGGCTTTTTAAGTTTTCTATATCCGATGCTAGAGCTATAATATATCTCCACGTGAAATATTCATCAAGTCAAATTGATCTATGCCAGCCCTACACACCAAACGTCGCACGTCGGTTTTGTAATTCGCTCGATTCAAATTTTTTTCTACCTTGGAAACAAAAAAATCAACAGTTGCCTTTGTGCCAACTTTCCTTTGGTTTTCGGCGCATGAAGTTGATCGTGGAAATTCTCTCTCACCACAAATGAAACTTGTGATTTTTTATCGTTTGATGTATCTAAATTAAAGTCGGTTTTTCGTTGTTCATTATTAGGCCCAATTTTGTCGACAAAGGGGTTTTATGAATATTTATTGTCGTTTATGAGTGTGTGAGATTTTGATTTTGGACCTTAATTCAGATTCATTAATGATCCAAATTAACCTGATGGATCACAGTAAAAATCACTAATAACGATTATAATAATCGAAAATGTTGAACTGATATCTGCCTTTTGGTCTATATGAAATATGAGTGCGGTAGATTTTGGCCGTACTTTAATAGTACTGGCCACTTAAAACCACATACAATTAACACGAGTTAACGTCAAGCGTCAAGTACTATCAGTGTCACAAGTCAGTAGTACACACAGCAATATCCATCAGCCATTCATGTACCGTGCCTCGCCCACGGTACACTCGCGAACTAATGCGATAATTGAAATTGTGCAATTGCGTGCGAAACGCCCAACACCGAATTCATTACAGTCGTGTTTTTTGCAATTTGTTTTTTTTTTCTTTTTCACTTTTTGCATTGTGTCGCTGCCAGCGAAATGATACGTATTCTGATGGTTTAATTATTTTATGCATGCGTCATCGTAGTCTTTTTACTTAGCAAATGGACGTTTTATCATAAAAGTTATTTTATGAGTGGCATACTTTTTGCAGACATTTAATGTAATTTTTATTAGAGTAGTCTTCAATGATGGATTAGTTTGTTTTGTTTTTAGTTTATTCATAACCATTAATAATGATAGGAAATGAACTCAAACTACAACATTGACTTTTACTGTCATTGAAACACAAATTGATTGACCATAATCGATTCATCGATAAAAAGTCCCATATCGCATCACTACAGAATCGGAAACAAAGCTCGCAACAGCGCTCTAAACCGTTCCTGTATCGATAACACGACGAATAATTGACGTAACGGTAAAAGCAGGCAACAATCCAGAACCCTACGAATCAGCAGCAATTTGTTAAGTGGATTTTTGGCCGAGACACGCTCGCGGCTCGTTGCGCTTCTGTACACAATTTCATTATCTCTGCCCGCGTGCCCGGCCGACTCTACTATTAACTTATGCGATACTGTTGTAAGCTATGGACATTTTTTCGATATTTTTTTTTGTTTTATATAGGACATTTTTGTGGCCATTTTTTTTTAATAGAAAAAATGCTGTAGTTTTTTATATGGCCGATAAAAAGTTAAGTACTCTATATTAATGGTCATCTTAAACTCCAATATCTATATACTTCAAAAAAAGAATATAAATATCATAAAAAAAAATTCTGTATGTAACATTTTTAGTGAACTTTCAAATTAATACAATCAATTTTATTTAATCAACAAACAACCGGAGCTAACCTTTAAACAATCAAATACAAATCCAATCAACCACCAAAAACATGAGCCACAAAAATGAATTAAAAAACGATCAACATCGTACACTTAAAATAATTTTGAAGGCACCCCTACATTGGCTACTGCTATAAGTACTACCGTTTACTAGCCCAGGTACTTTAGAAGATGGACTTGACCAAATCAATTCATGCCCACGCATACCGCCCCTACGCAATCACTTAAGAATTTTATGAACCGTAATGATTAAGATGTTTTGTCGTGCTTGAGTTTAAAACCGTGTAAGAGGGGTTTAATCGTCAAATCGGTTTGTTGTGTTGAACATATTGTGACTGGGATAGCTATTAAAGGATTAGGCGACATTTTAAAACGTTTGGATAGTGCATTGAGTTTGTATGTGTACTTTGTTAGAAAGATGCGTGAGAGCATGATGAGAGGAGTTATTATTTGGCTGTCGGGCTCTCATAACTTCTCTAATTAATTGAATTGTTTGTTTATCCTGTAAAACATGATTTCTGGTACGATGGATTACAAAATTTATATTTCATCAACACGATGAATGAAATTGGAGTGCCTGTTTGTAATATTGAAATAATATAAGAACCACTTTTTAACATGCATATGAAGAAACATACGATACATACCTATAGCAAAATTACATTTTTTACAATTGTTGTCTATCTGTCTTTTTGTACTGACTAATCACCGAAATGGCTGGACCGATTTTGACGGGACTTTTATCGGTTGGTAACTGATGTACTTATTTAAAAAAAAAGGCAGACGAAGTTGCGGGTACAGCTAGTTATTATTATAATCAGTGTCTATAACTTCGGTTTCTAACAATCCCATAAATGTACCTAAAAGTAAGAGTAGTGTTAGATTACTCAAGATATCAATTCTTAGTTAAATCGATTGTATAATTTGAAATCGATTAATTGAAAATCGATATCTAACCTTATTTTTAAATGACAAATACAGTAAAGGGGCAAAAAGTCCGGTTCTCGACATATGGCCAACATCTATATAACAATGGGATCTTTACACCCTATTTCGGGTGCGATAAAATCGATTCTCAATTCGATATGACCCTCTTGTGCTGCTGGTTTGATGGAGACATATTTTGGCTATGAATGTACTTGTAGCAAAATGAAAAATATGGTAGTGGAATAATTTAATGACTTCAAACAGGGGTTGTTATTTCTGCTTCTAATGGACGTGAATAAGTTTTTGGATTTAGTTGTACAATAGAAAGTATCTGGCTAATTGTTGCTTGTGCTACTGCATATTTTAATATCTGTATGGTTACTTTCACGTACCTTGATTCAACTGTTTTCATATTTCAAGCTTTCTTCATTTTATTCATTGTATTCAGTCCGTTTCAGTGAAACGTGATTTTTATTATATAATTACAAATGTTCACCAAATATTATTTCTATCTATCAAAGATCAATATATAAATAAGATCCATTCACAACTACAGTTGTTCACCAAACACTGATTCAGCAATCGTTGACTTAATTTTAAATTAAAACTACATTATCAAATGGTGGGTTTCTATCGGCTGCAGTTTTCCGGTGATTTTCGGTCTCGTGAACGCCGGTGTGAGGGAATCACGGCTATTAAATTGTCTCATTAGACACGCCGCGCCGGCACCCGCCCGCCTCTTTCTTCTCGCCAAATAAATTCCTTTTACGTCTGATATCTATCTATATTACCTTTTTTGTTTTGATACTTATCTAGATACCTTACAAGACTACCTTTCTTACGTACTTAATTATCCTTATTATCAATTGTTGGTTTTTATTTCAATAAACTGTACTGTTTTTGTAACTATAAAAAGTAAAGAAAACCACTGTTAACGCTAA